GTGTGTGTGTGTGTGTGTGTGTGTGTGTGTGTGTGTGTGTGTGTGTGCATGATAAGCTAAAGGCAGCTAGATGGCTCAGTGGATAGAGTACTGGACCTGGAGTCAGGAAGAACTGAGTTTAAATATAGCCTCAGACACTTATTAGATGTGTGACCCTGGGCAAGTCACTTAACCTCTGTTCACCTTAATCCACTGGAGAAGGAAATGACAAACTACTCCAGTACCTTTGCCAAGAAAACTCCATGGACAGTATGACCCACAGAGTTACAAAGAGTAGGACACAACTGAATGACTGAATAACAAATATGATAAGCTGTTCTCTCAGCTTTTCAGGGACGCAGAGAGGAAAAAAGATGAAAGAGGTGTTCCTAAGGTACTGAATAGTCCCATTTTCTATTTTGAAAAATGATTTAATTCTGTTTTCACAGTTGTTGAAGCAATTCCTTAAATAACTGTGACAGTTCTCACAAGATTCTGACTGTAGAAAATACTGTTCTCTATAACAGCATTTCTAATAATGCACTATTATTGATAACAATAATAAATGACATTTATATAGGATTTAGATTTTGTAAAGTCTTATACATACACATTCTTATTTAATTCTTATAAAAACTCTGTGACATTTATTCTATTATTAGCTAATCTTTTTTTAAATTTTTTAAGGCAATTGGGGATAAGTGACTTGCCCAGGGTCACACAGCTAGTAAGTGTCAAGTGTTTGGTCTGAGGCCGGATTTGAACTCAGGTCTTCCCGACTTCAAGGCTGGCACTCTATCCACTGCCCCACCTAGATGCCCCTATTATTATCTAATCTTTACAAGTATATAAACTAAGATTAAAAGAGTTTAAGTAACTTGAAGATTACCCAAATACTTAGTGACTAAGGAAGGATTTAAACATAAGTCTTTACTGACTGAATTCCATGCTCCATCCACTATGACACAATGCTCTGTTATATTGCATATTATAATTTTTGTTATTGTAAATAACTGACACTTTTGCATGTACATGGAACTTTGATATCCACAGTTACACTGAAACACTGCCTTCTTAGTATTCAAGAAAAGAATAAATTACACTCAGTATAATTGCAATATTGCATACCGAAAATTAGCAATCCAGTAACAGAATTATATTAACCAGAAGATTTTAATACCAATAGAAACCATGGTCAGGTAGCTCAGAGTACAATTGATCTTGCCAAGTTATATCCACTTTAGGAAAATAAATAAATAGATATGTGTGGATACACATAACAGGTTCAATACACTTCATTTTACTTTGGGTGTACTGATAGCAATATGGTAAATTAAATTACATTTCAAAAATGTAAACATCAGCAAAGTAAAAAGGAAACACTAGGATAGGAGTCAAGATTCCTAGACCAGAGTCTGGACCAGGAGTTGGGAATCTGAGGACTTGAGGCCACATGTGGCCCTCTAGGTCCTCAAGCACAGCCCTTTGGCTGAATCCAAACTTCACAGAACAAATGCCTTTAAGAAAGGATTTGTTCTGTAAAACTTGAACTCAATCAAAATCTCACACTTAAGACCTAGAAGGCCACATGTGAGCTCAAGGCCTCAGGTTCCCTACCCCTGGCTGGGCTCTACAACAGGCAAGCTGTGAAAATTACGTTTCAATTTTCTAAATTGACTAAACCATCTCTTAACATTTTTTCTAGCTCTAACATTCCATGCTTTTTCTAAAATCTTATTACATGAAAGATATTCTGTTTGATCAGAATTGGGATATGGTTTATGAAATAATATTTATAGAAATGTATCTTGCTTTCCTTTAGAACACAGGAGAGTTATTTTTGAAATGTTACTTACATGCATAAATTGTTCAGCATGAATATCTGAGCTTAAGGCACAGAGTAAAAAAAGACTGAAAATATCAATTTACAAGTATGTAAATAACATTAGCCTATTTTTTACATTAACTTCATATTATGCCATTCACAGAATGAATAATGTTAGCAAAGAAGAAATATTTAGAATACCCTTTTGCGTGTCTTCTCCTTTAGGAAAGGCCGTATGACAGTGTACAGAGCATGGATGTACCAAGGCTGATTGACAAAATGAATTCCTCCAAATCGAGCTGGAAAACTGTCCTGCAGTATCACATAAAACAAATCCAATGCATATTTTATTATTCAAAGAAGGTTAAGTAATTCAGTTCACTAAATATTGATTAAACAACTATTATGAGCATAGCACTGTACTGGGTGGTGGGGACACAGACAAAAAAAATAGTCCTTTTCCTTAGGCACTTACATTCTTTTGAAAAGAAGATGCATGTTCTAGATAAATTTAATTTCTTCTGAAGTGGTTTACCTGCCTATTAAAAGACAAGAGTAGTAAGAAACTCACCTTTCTGAGCATTGTCACTGTCAATTAGCAATGAAAGATATCAAGAAAGAGTCCTCAAAATCAAATAAATTCTTATCAATTTCCAAAGGTCAAGAAATGTGGCATTTTAAAACCTAAAGCCCCTAAGCAGTCAGTCGTTACAGGTTATGAAGCATAAATAAAAAGCATTTGAAGTATTTCTACTATGCCAGATGTGTAGTTTTGCTTTGTTTTACCTTGACATATCAATGTATTTTACTTCTAATATAAGCAGGAATCTGTCACATACTAAGCACCTGAGTGAACATTTTAGAAGTTGTCTTTTCCTCTTTTCAAGCTTACAAATCAAAACATTAAATACAGTGTCCACATAAAGTTTAAAAATTAGAACAATTTTAGGAGGTTTGAAAATGCATTTCCATATAAATGTATATGTATGTATATAATTAAAAACAAATCTTGACACTAACACGCTCTTGTTGGAGTTGTGAATTGATCCAAACATTTTGGATAGCAATTTGGTACTATGCCCAAATATGAAACAGTGCACACCCTTTGCTCCAGTAATAACATGACTCGATCTGTATCTCAGATATTTAAAAAAAAAAGGAAAATTACCTATATGCACAAAAATATTTATATCAGCCTTTTGTGGTGCAAATAACGGGAAATTAAAGGGATATCCATCAATTGGGGGATGGCTGAACAAGTTGTGACATATGATTTTGATGGAATACTATTGTGCTATAAGAAATGATAGGGGACTGCTAGGTGGTGCAATGGATAGAGCTCCAGTCTTAGAGTCAGGAGGACCTGAGTTCAAATTTGGCTTCAGACACTTGACTCTTACTAGCTGTGTGACCCTGGGCAAGTCGCTTAACCCCAAATGCCTCACCAAAAAGCAAAAAAAGAAAAGAAAAGAAAAAGAAAAGGAAATGATGAGCAGGATGGTTTCAGAAAAACCTAGGAAGACTTACAGGAACTGATACAAAGTGATCTGGGCAGAAACATGAGATCATTATATATACATAGTAACAGTAATCATGTATGATAATCAATTGTGAATGACAGCTGTTCTCAGCAATACAATGACATGAGACCATTCTAAAGGACTCATTATGAAAAATGTTATCTACCTCCAGAGAAAGAACTGATGGAGTCTGAATGCAGACCAAAGCATACTTTTTTTAACTTTATTTTTCTTGGATTTTCTTTTCTATTTTTTTGTCTGTGTTCTCTTTTGCAACATGGCTAATGTGGAAATATGTTTTGCATGACTGCACATGTATATTTTATACCAAAGTGCTTATCTTCTCAAGCAAGGGGGAGGGAATTTGAAACTCAAAAATTATCTTTAAAAATTAATGTTAAAAATTGTTTTTACATGTAATTAAGAAAAATAAAATAGCATTCTTAAAAAAGAAAACATTTCTATGTATAATATATACATACATATGTACATGCATGTATGCCCACATACATACAACGTGCCCAAACTGACTACTTACTAGAAGGACTGGTAGTTGCTAATTGCTAATTGTTGGTGACAATGCTCATAAAGCAATTTTGCCCTTTAGCTAGAATGAATATTAATTAGGGCAGAGGAAACACTTTTTCCTCATCATCCAAAGAGTCATGTAGTGCATCCTGCAAAATACAAAAGAATTCTTGAGCCTATTATAATAGCCCATAGATATCCACCATTTTGTTTAAATATTCTGAGACTTGTATGGTAGCTGGCTTTCAGAAGTCCAACACCTCAGAGCTAAATTAGGTCCCAATGTTTTTCTGTGACGATTTCTCCACAGGCCTGGTCCAGGGGAATTTCTGTTAGATGGCAACACTCTCATTTAATGTTCTACTTAATTCTACCAAGAGTTTGAGCAGAAACAAAAATAGATTAATAGGAAGAGTAATGGGCATGGAAGTTTTTATGATTAACATTGTCTTGTTCTTGTCTTTTTTTATGGGGGACAGCAATAGTCCTGGGACAAGTTTTTATGTTAATATTAATAATAACAACAATGATTTCTATATATTACTGTACATGTGAATATCTTTTTCTAATTGGCTAAAGTTTTGACATATAAGATCATCCTGTGAAGGCTCATGGGAAGCATGTTACATACAACTATAGTAGTAAACAGGTTAATAGGGATGATATTCACCTCATTCTATTCCCACAATTTTGATCTTTTGTCCTAGGTCTCTATATTTTTGTTGAATTTTTTAAAATGGACAAACATTTATTTTCTCTCCAATCCACTTTCTTACCCTCCCTTGCAATTAAATAAAAACTAAAACTAAATTTTCACAATAAATATGTATAGTGAAGTGAAGCAACTTCTTTTATTTGACATGTCCAAAATTACATGTCTCATTCTGCACTTTGAATCCATAATCACTCAGTGAGGAGGTGGGTAGCACGCTTCATCTTCAGCCCTCTGGAATCATGATTTGTCATTGAATTGATCAATTTTAAAGTCTTTCAAAATTATTTTTCTATATAACATTGTCCCTGTATAAACTGATCAACTCCTTATGTTTCCTTCATTCTGCAATAGTTTACACAGGTCTTCCCGATTCCAACTAAAACCATCCATTTCATAATTTATGTTGTAGTAATATTCCATTAAATTAATGGACCATAATATGTTTGGTCATTCCTCAATAGGTGGGCACTCCCCTAAATTCCAGGACTTTTTTCCTTCCTCTTACAGAGAGAGTTAATATATAAGGGTCACTTTCTTCTTTCTTTGATCTCTTTGGGGTATATGCAGGGGTGTGCTGGTACATGTTTTATAAAGAGCACTCTGAAAACTGTATGCATGACATACTTTTAAGTTTAATCTGCATTATTAATGTTTTCTTCATCACTTCTTAAGTACTCTAGACAATCAACAAAACAATAAAGTAGGGCCTGATTTATGAGTTGTAAATTTCTGAATTATAAATACTCCTATTCCAATTTTAACAATCAGCTCTCCCACAAGCCAGTCTCAGCGGTCTCTAGCACATCCCTGGAATAGTTGCAAATTGCTTTCCAGAACAGTGGTACCAATTTACAGCTCCATCACCAGTGTATTGATGTGCCTGCTTCCCTACAACCTCTCCAACATGTGTCATTTTTCCTCTTTTGTCATCTTTGCCAATCTGATGGCATGATGTAAAGCTTCAGAAAGTATTGATTATTGGTTTTAGTAGCTTAAGTGTCTTACTTGAGAACTGCCTTTTGATATCCTTTGACTCCATATCTATTAGCAAACAACTCATTCCTACACATTTAAATCCATTTCTTAAATAGCTTGGATTTATACAAGTAGGTCTCTACAGTGTGAAAGCACTTCCTTTTATGCAGCTTGGAGAGTACGAATATTTGGTATAGTGATATGCATTGAAAACATCAGGATGAAGTCTCATTGATCAAAGTTATGCTCACTGTCTTTGAGAATTATCCAGCTACAGTTTTATTCCATAATCATCATTATTATCATCATTTTTATTATCATAAACAGAATTTGCATGTTAGGTACAGGTTAGACTAAATGCCCCTTGAGGTCCCTTCCAACTTCAAAGTTCTATTAGTCTATGATTTTCTCTTACTAAAGCTACCTAGTAAAATCTAAAATTTGGTTATGGTGGCATAAGAGCAAATATTTCTATATTTTGAATAATTTTCTAAGCATTAATTAATTTTTAAAGATTTAGCACATGACTTTTAGAGCTCATGGATTTTTTTCACAAGATAATTTTTATCCCAGGAAGTGTCACACTATAAAAAGCAAAATGAACAGTGTTTCAGGAGAATAATGCACATAAGTATAGTGAACACTGAAGAAGCTTTCCCTTTGTTTCCAATGGTAGCCTGATTTTATTTAAAAAGAATTCAATTTCTCATTTCTCAAGAATATATTACAATGTCAGGTATATAATATGAAAATGGAAAATTTGTCATTTTCTTTGATCTGCTCTTGATATAGTCTTTGGATTTTTTAATAAAAACATATAAATATAAAAAAGGTCACTGGAGTTCTTTCAGATGATTGGCTGTAGGCTATGTAACATATGAGTTTTGGGAATAGAAAGGGGAGGGGCATGTTCATGGTCAAATAAAATGGCACATGTTCCTTGGAAATTACATCTCCCATAAGCATGTTTAATGAGTTGAAATGTGGTATTATTTAGCCAGCTATAATGGTCTCACAAAAAGAGGCTAGTGAGAAGTAGATTTTTTTGGATGGAAGGAACATAGTGGAGAAGTGACAGTCAAAAGGCAATCAGACTAAAGGTTGGAATCTAAATGGGATGGGCAAATAAGAACAGGCAAGAAATTACATGGTGTGGTGTCAGTAATTAAATGGCATATATATATATTTGTGTGTGTGTGTGTGTGTGTGTGTGTGTGTGTGAAACTCAGCACATCCAAGAGGTTCTGTAGGGTCCCCTACAAAGTTCTATGAATACTTAAGGTGGTTCCCTTCCCTTTTGTTGAGGAGAGAAAAAAGGATTAAATCTGAGATGGAAAATCTACATGTCTCCCTCCTGTCATGGTGAAGAGAGAAAAGGAGAGTGAAAAGAGAGTAGACTTGCAACCTTCAGTCCCAGATGTTTTTGGAAAGAGTAGCCTTAGGAAATGGCACTGAGAGTGTTTGCTATTTAATTGTCACACTTTATTATTTACCACATATTATATTTTAAGTAAATGTCTTTCACCATATTATGATTTCAACATGCTTGATTTTAGCTAGGCAGAAGAGATTCA